GTGCCTTAATAAACAAATGTCCCTCGAACCCCCTTTGTGCCCACTTTGCGGTAAAAGTGCGCTCACGAGCCTGAAAGTTTGATCCCAATGGCGGCGGTGCATTGTGCTTTCCTGTTGATCAATGGGGCACAGCTACAAGTTCTCTGCTCGAGTAAAGGGGCGCGCTCGAGCTATGGCTTCAGGCACGGTAAGGCTGGACCGGTTTATGATCGGTTCCAAAACTATTGTGTCATAGGCAGAACGCCTTGATATGCACGCCGAACCGCACTGGGCACCCCAGAAGGTAGCCTATCCTTTGCCTTGAATCGTCTTCAGCGTGATAGCTGATTACCACACTGAACACCTTTGATATGGAAAACGCGAACAAAGCCCCCAACCAGTCAACTAGCACGGAGCTTTGCCCGCCATATGTTGGTATCGCCATCCCGCCAACCAGGCCAACCTCTCCAATGCGGGCAGAAGTGCACCCGGAATCCACACCGAAAGTTTCACCTCGTTGGTCTCCCACTGCGCCCCATCGCAGCATCGCAAAAACCACACACACACACACACAAACAAAAAAAAGGGGGGGGGTGAACATGAGCGATTATACCCACTCTGTTAACACCCTCACGAATTCCCACCAAATTACTGGTATATGTGCAGGTACCGTGGCTGAAAGATCCAAGATCTATGTCCCACCCACCACCACCACCCATGCTCCTGATGGAATCCTCCACCACGTGGCCCATGGTGTAGAAGAGCTCGTAAATCGAGTCCAGGCGCCTCGGATTTGTGCGGCATTCCCTTGAAAAGCGCTTGTTTCGAAAGTCTCCGATATCAGGAGCAACCGACGATCAAAGACAAGTCCCGAGTAATTCGATCGTACTTGTACTCGGTAACCGAACCATCGGTATTCCAAGTGCCCGAGTGCCGTACTGTACTATACAGCGTGCGGGTATTCCTTCTCACAGCCGGCAAGCACAACCGGTACGAGTACCATAGTCCAAGTTAGCGACGATCTCCCTCCCGCCATAGATCCACGCATCTCCTATCGTACCGTATCCAGAAGCCCTTTAGCCCACATATCAGTTCCAAAAAAGCCAACGTGGGGAGCTGGGCACGACGGGGACCAGCTTGTGGACGCATCTCCCGGTAGGAACGTTTATCTACAGTACCGGTACCGTACGGTGGTATCATAACTTAAATCAGGGAAACCCCTGCCACGAAACACCAACGATCGCGACTTGTGCCACCGGTATCGGGAGAAGCGAGTTTCCAAGACAATTTATTTAATGCTGGAAAGGGGAGGGGGGGGGAGGGGTCTGTTGATATTATACGAGTGTGAACTCATTCGTACCGGGCTCGGTATCGCGCGAGCGCTGTTTATTGCGTGACTTTGGGTGGGCGAGGGTGGTCAAGCCCGGGGTTGCCGTTGAGAGGATTCCGGGGTTTCTCCGGTAGACTGCCTGTACGGTACAGTACAGGTACAGTACCGGTATTATGATACGATAGTATGCAGTAGGAAAACCCGGTTAGGGTTAGAGCCAATTTCCTAGTCTACTGTACGATACCGCAAGTCACTTCGCTAGCGTAGGAACCCGTCAATCTCCCGAAGTGATCCAATCCCCGCAATCAGAGACAAAGCGCTCCGAGCGGGAATATCGTACCGTACTGTAGTCTCCCCCACACGCGGTGTGCTAGCACCGTACGAGTACTAGTACCGGTGCTGTAATCCGGGAGAGCTGCTCTAGCGGGATCTCGCTATCGGAACCCCGTACCGTATTCGCCATCCCATGAATTAAGCCTATCGCGGTTTAGTACGGTGATTTTCCCTCCTGCGTAATCCGACGATGGATGTTACAACGAGTTCTATCATAAGGTCATCAGCTGCTGGTGGTGCAACCCGCACCATCGCCCCTAAAAGGTTGAGTTGTACTGTTCAATTTCACATTAGGAGATTAGCGGTAACAGGGTCACATCTTGCTGTCCGACATGAACCCCCCGCGAATTCCGATATTTTTTTAATTCTTCACGTCGGAAAGCTGGGTGGTTGGTTTTTCCAGATAAACTCGCCGTGCCGGCCAGATTCTCCGAATTTCCAAGGCGTGGGGGGGGGAGTCGGGTTTAGAATTCCCCTGGAGAGTTTCATCAAATATCACTCTCCGGATTTGGTGTTTTGTGGAAGATATAGCCCAACGGAAAACGGTTACCAGACCCACCATGTTATTTTGTATGGAGATCCGCTATGGGGTCATTTTCTCCCACTATTAGTTTTGCGGGCGAAATGTTCTTTAGTGGTGGGGGCATAAAGAATTCCATGGTTCATTGGATTTTTGTAAGTTCACCAGCTCTCACTCACTCACCAGCAGTCAATCGATCCTCCCTTCATGAATTTATCGACCTCTCGCCATTAAGAAATTTCCCTTCGGCCGAACATCCATTTGCTCTACCAATAAGCGATTATTCTCTCACCCGTCCTCACCCTCTCACTCGGCGCCACTAGAATCTCGGGGTTAGGACAACCTTGCCGTCAACCGCCGGCGCGGCGTGTCTCCCGGGACCAGACCACTGTAAGCGGAGGCTATGGAGGCCAAATGTACCGCCGCGGGCTGCGACAGTAAATCCTTCCCGTTTCCCTCACTCGCTGTTCCCGCCTATTCCCGCTAAAGCATCTGTCAGGCGGCGCCCAAGGGTAGGACAGCAGAAGGCGGAGATCTAGACGCCGTCCTCCCCGTCGAGGGAGGCGGGGGAGGAACGCCCTATGGCGCGGGCCTTCAAGGGCAAGAATGTCCTGCATAATGGCTGTGCGGTCACCTGCCTGGTGGGCTCATTCACATAGAAACTTCTCCGGAAACCACATAGAGGTTGCGGAAATCGTTATGAGGCGCATGAGAGACATGTCCTCCCTGGCAGAATGATTGCGGAGGAGGAGGAGGAAGAGCCTACGCTCGCAGGCGCTAACTCCGATCATGGAGAGGTGGCTTACATCCTAAATAGCACGGGCCTGTCCTATCTTGCGGGGTGGCTAACGATGACAATGCCAGATGCCGCTACTGCCCCCGGTGCCTGTGCCTGTCGGGTGGGCTGTACGGTACCTGCGTGGGATACAAAGGGAGCCACACATGCACGATGAGGTAGGGAAGATCGGATAGGGAGCCGAGGGCACGGTAAGTCTTGCGATCCTTGCAGCCCTGTGTCCGGGGGGGGGGTTGATGATGATCCAAAACGCTTCACCCATGAGTAATAAGCCATCACCTCCTGCCAAGTTGGAAGGGCCGACGATTCCGAGTGAGATAGGATGTCTCAACTTTTCTCTCTTGTCCTTTCATTAATTGACCTGGATTTGTGCGGGACACCTGCTAGAAAACATTGCGACATACCCATTATTATTTTCTCCCCTCATCTTGACGTACTTCAGATGAATAAATTTTCCTCGAGGGGTCATGGGATATCACTCTTCTCAGAGCCAAGCCCACGACCCGAGAAATTGCAAGCACTGCCTCACGCGCCAATCCCATGCGCATCATAGTCTACTTGTAAAAGCACACTGAGGGAGGCACAAGGGTAAAGGGGGGGGGGGGCTCATTAACCGGAACAGATAGGGATGTAGCCTTAAGTAACCAACCGCTCCACAACTTCTCGCGGGACCACGTAAGAAGCCCGCAGCGTTCGGGCCCCATTATGACTCCTTCCGCTAAGATCCCGGCAGGCAACGGCATAATACTCTTCTTCAATCCCTCCCTTCCCCCTCCCGACCAGCGGTCGCCGCAAGCACAAACCCCCAGCCACCCCGCCTGCAGGACGCGTGCCGTACGGTATACTCTGCGAAGAATTAAACAAAAAAACAAACGAGGCTCTGAGAACATTCCACGAACAAATCCCCCCCCCCCCTTTCCCGTTCGATCTCCCCT